ATTTGATTTTTTAAAGCAAATTATATTTATCGAATAAGAGTTTTATCCTATAATTCCAAGCGGAAAAGTTGCAGTTAAAACTTTACACCTACGCTAACGCAATTGTGTTGCCCGTAATGTGATAATTTGGTCAGTGATATATGACTATGAATATGTTCTTATTGTCGTTACCACAATCATGACCTTTTTTACTCGACTATGAACTCAACGAACGAGACTCATTGCCATTTTTTGTATTAACCATGGACAATACGACGGTTTTCACTAGTTGAGTAGGATCTGCTTACACTTTCGGTACATCGAAAATAACCACCAGCTGTTTATTGGTTCAAGCAGCGCAATCTTTTTTCTATGTATTGTTATGTGAAATTGTTTGTCTTCTCGTTGTCGTCTTTTTTTTCATGCAATGGGGTCAGTTTATATCTACTTAAGAGTTTAAATGTTCCCTTTGTATCTCCTGCTGGTTTTGATTTGTGTATTTGGTTCAGCGTTCTGATCTATATGAAAGAGATATTCTTATTGAAAAAATACTGGCTCAATTATATTTCGTCATTTTGGATACTCTTTGATAGTTAACTCATTGGCAACCATACGACATATTCTTATTTCAATTCTAATTCGGCATAACATACATAGTTCTATTTGTTTCAGGCGAAAAGGTAGACGAGCTGTGATAACGTTTTTCCTGTCAATAATGGGTGATGATCGGATTAACTCATTTACAAATAAGACGTTTTATATTGAAATACAGCAGGTACATTCACATATACATCATATTATAATTTAGACAAACGTAGTGGATTATACTAAATCATACTAAATAAAATGTTAACATCATAATATACATCTAGAAATTACAATGTCAAATACACATAATATGACTAATTCTTTATCATAGTTTTGTATTCTCATATTCAGGCTTCGCTTTATGTGACTGATATTCATTTCAGCATGGTTAACTTCATCATATTTCATGCAATTATGTTCATTTGCAGAGGTTTGATTTTGAGACACGATATTCCGCGGAGAAAGGATATTTCTCTTACTTTTGATTGTCGTTTTCACTGTCCTGCACATCCAAATGGCAAAAATGGTAAAAATGAATATTCAAATGCAACTGATGTAGAAACGATATATTCTAGAAAACTTCCTATTTAGAAAAATAAAATAAAAGGGTATATAATAGATATACATATACGATAACAGTATAACTCCTTTATTTGTGAATTACTTTGATGTAATACCAATTACAATGAAAAGTGAAATATTAAGATATAAAGCTGAACGAAAATCTATAAAATGGCAATAGTTTCCAGATGACCTTAACATGTCGTTTCATAACAAGCATTTAACATTCAATGGTAAAACTTTCAACATGTATGAATATGGAAAAAACGGGCTGCTTAATAATACATAAAAAAATAGGTTAAGTGAGTTGTTCTTTTTCGTACTTATTCCCAACAGTCTGTTTGTATCATCATCATTAGGATATAACGAATCTTAATAATTATAAGATTTGAAATAATGTCTCAAAAATCATAAACTTATTAAATAAAGGCAATAGTAGTAAACCGCTGTTCAATAGTCATAAATTGATTTAACTGAAACAAATCTGGGTCACAATATAAAACTGAGGGAAATACATCAACTAGAAGAGGAAAAGAACACACTGAACTTCTACATAAACGCAAAAAATCATATAAATGAACTAGGTGATTAATTATCTTTACTTTCACATAGTTACATATGAAACATAGAAATATAATGAAAACCACAAGACAATATCAATCAGAATTACAAATCACACATCATTACTTAATACATCATGACTGTTGGATGTACAAATACCGAGACACGTTTAACATGTTTAATAGTAATGAGAATTCATACTCAGCAAAAAAGTCATATTCGGGTTTAGGCCACGTTCGAAACTTAAAAGACCAGACGAAGTAGATGGTAAAAATGTCGTTATTTGGTTTAGACACAGACACAGACATATCGTATATATCAACCAATTTGTGATGGTGTCCATAAAATGTCTTGTTTACGGAGTATCATTTTTGTCGAGCCTGCGACTTTTGTCGCAAAAGCGAGACCTCGCGATCCTATATTCCGTCGTCGTCATCGTCGGCGGCGTCCACAAAAGTTAACTCTGTTGTGAAAGTTTTTGAAATTTTAATAACTTTCTTAAACTACCAAACTACCAAACTTGGACAGAAGCTTGGTTATGATCATTAGACAGTATCAAGAAGTACATTTTGTAAACAAAAATCTTGTTTATCCGTATTTTACTTATAAATGGACTAAGTTTTTCTTCCAGTTAACATTACATACAGTTTCTAAAACATTTATTAGATTTATAAACCATCCTGGATTGTTACCAAATTTGGACAGAAGCTTCTTACAATCAAAAGATAGTATCTAGAGGAAAATTCTTAATAATGTTTTCCCCATTCAATAAATTTATGTTTCAACTCTTTTATAAATCTATAGATTTGATTGCATACTGTATTCATTTTTTACAAGTATTTCAAACGTTTTATTTAATTAACTGTAAATCTATTATTTGCATTCCCCTATCACACTGAAAACATAGACATCAGCAAAAGTAGGCGATACACTGGGTTCTGCGGAACCCTTACGAATTTTTAATCTTTCCTCCTCATAACTCTGTTGGAGTAGTTTCTGCGTAAGAGCACACCCCTGTATATAAAGTTCTTTAAGTGTGAACATGCATGAGCATAACGTATCAACAGAGATGTATATACACCATACGATTGGAAAGAGGGTATGTTACTGCTAAGGAATCGAGAAATTGATAATGGGAAGTTGAAATCGTCCTGTTTTTCATAGCTTTTACTGTGAAGTGATCCTATATCTGAAAGTAAAATTTGAGAATTTCGCATAGTGCTTTTTTGTTTGTCTTTTAGAAGGTTCTGAATGAATTATGCCTCATTCGAGGACAAAAACAAATCGGACAGTAAAGGTGCACATTCGAATACTGTCTGTTGAAATGTAAGTCCTCCAACTCTACAAATAGTTTCGATCAAAAAGTCCAGAATTTTGATACTATCATCATTATTATATTTTCTTGTAGATTCAGTGTGGTTTTTCACAGAATAGGAATTATTATAACCAAAAAAAAGTCATTTCGTTTATAAGCCCACCATGTTTTAAATTAGTCGCAGATTTTGAAAATGTTGGCCTGGGGCATTGCTCGAGAGATGTTTATTGTCAAATTGCGCATCTGGAGCAAAAATATTGGTACCGTTTACGTTATAAAATTTTTTAAATAAAATAATTTAATGAAAGGTAAAAGTAATTTTCGAACCTCGATTATAGCTATTTCTGTAATATATTTCTTAAGATGATGTGCAAAACAAAAGGCGATTAGTCAAAATATAATAACAAAAATACCGAGCTCAAAGTAGAATTCAGAACGAAAAATCCTTTATCAAATGGAAAAATCATTAACTCAAACACATTAAACGAATGGACAACAACTGTCTTATTCCTGGGCATGGGCTCTATGGGTATAAAACCACTAATTCATAGCCCCATTGCTTTCTATGTTAAATTCTGCAATTTCAAGCATAAATGGCCTCTTTGTCTTAAGTTCAAATAAAGTGGCAGTTATTTCATGTAAAAACTGTACCTTATGATGACTTGTGCTGAAAAAATCAACATACCTTTAATTGCATATTAGAGCGTACTGGTTCCCGGAAGTTTGATAGTACAAAAACAGGAACTTCTGATCTGAACAACAGGCCAAATGAGCCCTCCTATTAAAATTTCATATACTTATTTTTAATTCAAATAAAACTTTCAACAAGGGTTCTACAGTGATCCCAAGTCCCCAAGCTTTCATTTGATTCTAAAACTACCCAAATATTCCCACTATTGACAAAGATACAGCTATGCGTAGGAACTATTTTGTTTAAAATATGTACTACTTTCTTGTATGTTCTTTCCGACCGGGCCTGAATTAGTGGTTCTATACCTATAAATATGTAACTTCGTTTCGTGTGTATTTTAGTCTAGACGCCATCTAATTAACTGTCGAGTTGACCCCTGAAGACCTCCGATTGCCATATAAGCGATATAAACATAAATATAGATATAAATAGATATCAGACACGTGCATTTGGATTTTTCTATGTTTATTTAATTTCATATTATAGATTAAAAATATATGTTAATCATCGATTTTACCTGTTAAAGAATGTTTGTTTTTGTGGATCGAATCAGTCAATCAAATGATTTACCTTTGTTTCACTTTCAATGTTGACATTCTTTTCCTTTAAATAATTGAACACGCACAATGCATGTGGTATCCACCTCTAGCTAAGGGGTTTACCTGAAGTTCACATGAATACGGATTCAATGAGGTCGAATTATTCCCTTGCAAGTGAATAGTTCATCATCAAAGTTTCTTAGCTTATTTTGACAAAATTGAACCATACTGGCTGCTAAAAGCGATATATTATTTCACTATTTCACTTTCATGAACGATTGATCAAAATAAAATCATATTTACTATTTTTTATATATCTCGTAGTTAGTGCCCCTTTAATCAAACAAAATACGCCTATAGCAGAAAGATCTAATTATTTTTTTAAGATAAATGTCGGAGAGGTTTGTTTTAGGTTTTCATAAAAACGTAATGCAGAGTAGTTGTTATATCGGAGTATAAGTAATAAGCAAGTTTATTTAAATTCAACTACCTTTTCAACATGTTTTAGTAAAATCTGAAACATTCGTTTTTGTATTCAACAGTTTATTTGAAATATTTTCATATTTCCTATTATAAGCCTAAAATTGATTTTATACACTCATCATTAGAAAAGCTCTGATAAATATTAACAAATCGCGAATACACTTAAACGTTAATTTGTTTCCTAAATTAGCTTTATATAGAATAAGTTCATCCACTATAATGTTCTTTTAAGAATTTCAATTAATATTTCCGTATTTTTTAATAACGGGAAATCATTTATAATTCAAGATGGCTGTTGGAATGTTGTCAACAGCGTCTTTTGTTTTGGTGCTGTTAATGGAGGCAGGTTTGTACACTTTGTTTGATTGAGACTTTGTTAACAGAGACAAAGATTTTGATAAATATTATGAAACAGATTTCCATAAAATGACATTGCTCGACATAACCAGCATATGATACATCGGCCTACTTCCTTGAAACTTGAGGGAGGAGAGCATGCATTGTGTGAATTGTTGTTAGTTGAATAGGCAGATTTTGTTGGAAATGAGCATATTTTAGACTAATCGAATTCTTTTTTTTTTTCTACAAATGTCTGTATAAAAACAGGAGGATCTATTGATCTATTGTTATTAAAATTTGCTGTTAAAAATTAAGGAATGAATCTTTACTGAGGCTTTACTTTTTTGGTCCTTTTTGGTATATATCTCTTCATCTTTGCATTAATCTTTGGATTTTCAAGTATTTTGGCCACGAGCATCACTGTAGAGATTCAGACATTGATAGTCGAAATGATAATCTGGTGCAGAAAAATTGGTACCGTGTGTGTTATTGATAGTACTTTTTAGGGGAATAAATTTTCCAGCTACGTATAATCAACTGAACCAATCATATCTTTGTTATTTCACTGGACCAATATATTTAATTTTAAAATGTCAGAAAACAATATTATTTTGGTAAAGAATACAACAATACTATGTCATATTAATTACCAAGAAGCAGGATTGACTTATCAGGGAAGGGAAATATATGACGTGTTTATTTCTACACATGGGATGAGATATGAAGATACTTTATAGTTAATTGCAGATGGAAGTGTCTTGTGCGCTTTAATGTGAAGCAAATATAACCCCCCCCCCCCCCCTTAACCCCCCAACCCCCACACACACACACACACACAGACACTTGACTGTATTGGTTTATTATGGTAAATCCTTCAATCCGAATATTAGCCCCAGTAAAATTCTACTCTTTAAAAGATTTTTTTACGAGAAAGCTCCGAGCATATTTAATAAGGAAGTATTTTTAATGACTTTTTAGGGGGGGATACTTGATATTTTTTCCATGCAATACACTTTACTATTGAAAAATTTGTTCTTTATTTTATAGTTTTGTAAAATGCCAATCAAGATGTATTTGAATAGACCAGATGTTTACACAAGTGTTAATAGAGCTTCCTCTTAATATTGTTGATTGTCTTAAACTTTTGATGTATCATAATTTTGTTTAATCGTTTTTTTAAAAACTTTTTAATAGATATAAGATGATGTTGTATGCGTGCCAATGATGCAACTGTCCATCCTAGTTACAATTTGTAAAAATCAACACATATATGTTAAAGTACGGTCTTCAACACGGAGCCTTAGCTCACACTGAACAGCAATCATGTTGAATAAAAAGCAATGTCTCAATGATCACTCCCAAAATACAGACACATCAGCACATCTTGTAACAAAATAATCAAGGATACATGTAAGATATTTATAGAAAACTGTTCGAATAAATGTGCATTTGGTGATACATGCTTTGAATTTCCTGTGTTTCTATTTCTCGTAGCAATATAGATAAAATTGGTAATTAAAAAGGTTAAGCAGATTGACATTTGTATACATTTCTTCACTTTCAGAAACTAACAATACTGTAACAAGTAAAAACGATGCTGATACATTTACAACTATACCGATGGGTTCAGAATATACGTCCATTAAATTGCTACATTCAACAGAAAGCAACATAACTACAACGACAACAGATTTGCAAAGGCTTGATATATCAACTAATATAGATTGGACGTCTAGATATGAAACTACTGCAACGACGTCCAAATATGAAACTAATGCAACGACATCTAATTATGAAACTAATGCAACTGATGCCCCATTTCACTACGAAAACTCAGTCTTTGTTCTGCAAATAGGTACTAAATATACAAGTTTATATACCATTTCATTTTCATTTGAAAACAACGGATGTGAAATTTTTTTGAATTGCATGTTGTGTTAATATAGTATTATATCCATCATCCTTAGCTTTATTCATCGCAGCAGAGTAGAGCAAATATCAAGTATCTTTGCCCTTAACAAAAACTGCATCAAATTTGATGCTTATCACACTATATAACATTCACAGAATGATCAACTTCCTCTAATATTAAAAATGTCTTTAGGGTTATGAACAAAGATAATGAATTGAACGGAATAAACACTTTGTCTAAAGTGATTTTTTATAAATAATCATTTTTTGGGCAACATCAGTTGTATAAAGGTAGAACTACAATTCGTATTCCATTTGGGTTTGAAATCAATTTCAACTTTCTATGATATTCTCTTACAGGCGTTGCTGTGAGTGTGTCATGTTTGGTAATTTTAATTGCAACTGTAACTTGCTGTGTATACAAACCGAAGAGGTATGCAAAGTAATAAATGCATGTTGTTTTAAAAGCTGGCTTATCAAAATTACCTGAATGAAAGGCGTTTATTAACTTTTTACATTTATTCTGTTTTAGAACGTAAATTGTAGAAACATAGGTAGAGTTAATATAAACAAAATTTATTTACCGAAGCTAGTTTGTTTGATGATTATGACTTATCATTGAATTTATAAAATTTATCACAAAATAAGCGTCTGTGTACATCGGGTATAATTCTATTGAAATTTGATGTAATAAGACTGAGAAAATCAATTAAAAAATTAAAATTGCTAAAATGGTCATGAGTCCTTGTTTGGATTTGGCTTTGATTGGATGAGTTTTTATTTTGTTTAATTTGGCCTTCAGTCTCAATGAAGATAAAGTAATTGTCAAAATGCGAATTTATGGAGTAATGTTTTGGGCGATATGGTTAGATGTAGTGTTTTATAAAAGGTTAATTTATCATTAGTTCCTTTCAATACGTATATACTTTGTTTAGAAAAGTACTATTAATGAACTCATCATTGATATCAGGTTAAAAACCTTTGTACGCCAAGACTCATCACAAATGTTCAAATTAAACTTAAAAGGGCAAAATAGAGTACGAACTTGTACAGTATTTTGAATAAAAAATATCGAAAGGTTTGGCCAAATACAGCTAAGGAATCTATTTCAAAACAACCTGATATGATTGGTTTTTTTTCATTATGTTTGCATATTTATGTGACTTGGTGCGTTCAGTAAAATGTTTGATGAGTATGAAATAGCCAAAATATAGAACGTTACTGTAACAGCATTATAACTAAATTGACATTCTTCTATTTTTGGATTGATTTATAGCTTTTGTAATTTATTGAACTCCGGAGCAATATTTGTCATGCATATTCAGACAAGTACAATAATGAAAATCTATTATCATGATTAGGATTTAGAACTGTAAACCTTTACTGCCACTTAAATTATAGTGCAGTTAAATGGGAGCCAACATTTGCCCTGCAACTTAAGCCTGGCTTTCAACATAACGTTTGCATACAAGGATAATTATGTGGGATACACGTCAACAAGAAAGACACCCAACGAATAAAATATCAAAAGAAATCTAGACCCGACGAAAAAAAAATAGCAAATGAGATCTAGAGGTTAGAACCGTATTCGATGTAAAGGATTACAATTATACATATGCTTTTAAATCATTATTTTTGGAATTTTGATGTGAGGCATGTTTTATCCGATGTCAAATTTAGACATCATTATGGAAAACGTTCACGTTCTAACCATTGTGATAGATCATTTCCTCTAGCGCAGAAAATAATTATATCTAACTTTAAACATCTTTCAATTAATTCTTCTTAATAGTATGGTCAGATCATATGTTTTCGTACGTCCTATGAGTTCGTACTATGCATGCTTTTTCAGTGGCAATTCTGACGTCACAATACATTCTATAAAGTACGAAAATCATTAGACGAGGATATATATGGGATTTGTGCCGAACAAATGTATCATCATGTTTTGTATGTTCTGTTCTCGGTTGTTTGTATTTTGGAGTTTGTAAATGAGACAGCTAACCATACAAACCAAAATTTTCATCAGTTGTTGGTTGCTTGTTCAGGACGCAGACCATAGGAATATATACATGATATATGAATACTTACACGACGATATATGAATTTCACAAAACTTATACCTTACAGTTAGTTATTTCTTATCATTTAACACAGTAACCAAATAACATAAAAATAATACAACGACAACTGAAGATTAACATGAATAAGTATTCATTGTTTCTAATTAGGGGAACATACACATTTCCTATATCAAAGTCTGAAGAAAATGTTGTCATGGCCATAGAAGGACCTCCGCAGCCCACCAGATCAACTGATGTTTTGGCTGAAAAATATTCCGACCCTATAGATAAAGCATCAATGTCAAATGAAACAGCAGGACCGCGTTTCTGTGCTACCAAATCTTGTCAAAATGCAATTTCGCAAAAGGCAGAACACGGTTGTGAATATCAGCATCTTGACTTCACGTTGCGATTCAAAACATCACCTCATTCTGGTGACAACAGTGAATACGACCATACCAGAGCTAATATGGTCAGTGTTTTCAATCAACCCTGGGACACGGCAAGTTCTAAGGTAAGCAAATTGTGTTCCCAGATTAGCAAAAGCGTCGTACAAAAAGGTCAAAATGTGCGCAAATCGTTAATCAAAAGGCGCGCATCACGATCTGGTAGTCCAAAATCAAAATGCCGAGTAAGTAATAATTGTGATGCTTGGGAAACACAATTTAACCATCAACAGTTTGTATTCGATTCTGATGTGGATAACCAAATAAATAAAAGCACGGACGTGACTGATTCTATTGTAGATGTCAGCAATGATGAACCCGAATTCATACATGCTGCAAGTTCATTTGCAGTGTTACCCTTTTCAGAGAGAATAAATGTTAAAAGTACACACATTTATGACGAACCAGACGACAGAAGATTGTCGTTAAGAGACAGACTGTTGCATATGCTCCCAATAAGATCAGATAAAATGCCATTTGGTATACAACTCGATTTAAGAGGATCTAGAAGAGAATCTAAAATTTATTCTTTAGCAACACCTATTGATGAAATAGATGAGAGTGTAGCTTAAATTGTAGAATTTAAAATTGTAAAAAAACTATATAATCAATGTAAATAATATTTAGGTAAAGCCTTTTTTTAAATGACTAATTATGTTAATTATACTGAGCACGAATCTGTTTTTTTTTTATTAATGAATTCTAAAATATGTATATTGTGCAACTGGAAATACACGGAAAACAGAAAATATGTGTTTTTCCCTTTCAAAAAAATTAATCATCATATAAATTCTTATACAGCAAGTCTTTTATTTGTTTTTATCTTATTTGCTGGTGTGGTTAGCATAGTTCAAATAAAACATATTAATCTGGTTACTAAGTTTGTTTTTTGTTTAAACATATATTTGTTTGGCGTATTTATAGTTAAAGAAGCATGATTTAATTATCTGCCAATACTTTCTGCATTGAACATGTTGTAATTATGTGCAGGTTTGGTGCGGCCATTAAACAGGTTTCTATCTCTTAGTACAGTCTTTGACATTATTAATGTATAAGTCTAATCTTGAACACCACAACCGATATTAGTGTGAATGACAGCTATTAAGAGTTCATGAAATATTTTAGACTTCCTGTTTTGATCAATCTATATTAGTACATAGTGTCCTTATATAGTTAAGTGTTATTATATTGTTAAGTGTTTCCTTTACGAATTTATTTGGAGATGTGGGATATAGGTCAATCATACAACATTCTTTAAACCTGTGCGTACCATCGTAAATTCATCTGATAATGATAAGAAAGGAAAAGGTCGAGATCAACAAAAAAGGTTAATCTATGCACATCTTTTGTACGCGCTTCATACTGATATTTTTGTCTGTGATCGTCTTAATTTATATCTAGCTTGTTTGATCTTTAGGAGAAGTTACTTGAATGATTGCTCAAGGAATCTTAATTTTAGCAGAAAAGATGCAACTTATTTAGTGATGGGTGTACATGTACATACTAGTCTGTTTTAACGCTTCATTTGTTAAGAAATTGTCTAAGCCTGTTTTTTTTTAATCCAAATAATATATTTGATTACAATACTTTCTTTCACATGTTTAACCAAAATTAAATTTGAGTAATAGTAACCTGATTAGGTACTTATGAGTTTTGAATGTTCCTTTGGTATATTCTGCTTAATTGTATATGTGTATTCGGTTCAGCATCTTATATAGAAACGAAAGGGATATTTTAGTGGTAATAACAGCATTTGGTCTATCGATTATTCGACTCATTGGCAATCATACGACATGTTCTTATTTTCATTTTTATTTCGACTAAGAATAAATAGATCACTTTGCTTCGAGTAAAAGGGTAGACAAGCTGTCAAAACGTTTTTCCTTTCAATATTGGTTGATAAGCGAGATTTCCCAGTTTCAAATCAGACGTCTACATAAAAACACAGCAGGTACGTACACATATACATTATCTTTATTATTATCTGGATTGATTGATTGATTCATTGGTGTTTAAAGCCACTTTCAACACTATTGTGCTATTTCGGGGTGATCAGTTTTTCAGGAGTGCTCGTAGACCACCATCATGACTATCGACCTTATTATTTGATGGACATACGTTGCGGAATAGACAAAATCATATATAAAAAATATAACATATTGTAATCATCTAGTAGAAACTACAATTTCCCACACGCATAATATGACTAATTCCTTATCATATTTAGGTATTCTCATATTCAGGTTTCGCTTCAGCTGACGAATATTCATGTTGTGGTGAAACACGATTTTCCTCCAAAGTGTGATAAGGGTGTTCATATTCGTTATCATTGTGAAATACATTATGAAGGCTGATGCTTTCGTGCTGAGCAAACTGGTTAACATAGCTGTGGTTCCAACGTGTTTCCGATTCATTGTTTTCTTCTTTGACTATTTTGTCCTTTATTTGTGGACATGTCATATCTATCATTTCGGCAGAGTTAACTTCATCACATTCCACGAATTCATGTGCATGTACAGAGGTTTGATTTTTAGACACGATATTCCTCAAAGAAAAGACATTTCTTGTTTTGTTTGTCTCTTTCACTTTCCTGCATATCCAAATGGCTAAAACGGAAAGATTTAATATCCCAAATACAAAAGATGTGGACACGATATATTCTAGAAACCTTCCTATTTAGAAAAAAGAAAGAAAGTTATATTATAATTAAACATATATGATCATGATGATGACAGCATAAATAATTAATTGTGTATTATTCTTAGGTCATATTTCATAACAATAAATATTGAAATATAAACCTGAAATAAACATCTAGAAAATAGCAAATGTTTCCAGGTCTTTTTTAATAAATTGTAACATACATGTTGTCATTTCATAACATGCGTTTATCTATATTTCAACATGCATACGCATCAAAGAAACGGTTTCGTAAAATAAAAAATAATAACTATGCTGTTTATGATTATTGGATTTTGTTTAGTATTTATTAACAGTGGTCTGTTTCTTATATCATTATCATCATAAGGATATTGTGTAGAAAAACAAAGCTTTATTCATATTCTTACATGGATGTTCTCCGTATACAAAAACTGCTCCAACATATTCGTGGAATGATGACACTGAACGTGAAACTACACAAGATTTAAGTTCATTATTACGAATTACGATCTGTCTATGTCCCAATTTGCTTGCAACATGTAATCACGGTCTCATTCGTTAGATACCGGACTAGTCGACTGATCTGTATACTCACAGATTGTATCCTTTTTCCGTTTCTAATATCCTTTTACTGAAGGTTCATTCATATGACAGGTGAACATGGTGAAGCATGCATAGCAGGAGATGTTTACCCTGTCCACGCATTTGGTCACTGTTGAATTTATGCAATTTCCCTCAATTCTTTTTGTAATTTCACCTTGATTTGTATTTTTTTAATGGATATATGATATTTGAACATCGTTCAACTTCTTTTACCTGGAATTGACTAATATCCTAAAAAAACTAGTACTTATGTGTTTCCGAAAAATACGTTTGGATAGTCTAATTTATCATACCTATATTCTATATTTCTTTGAAATCCTAGCAAAAAAAAAATCTTAACTTTTGTGAGTTTTAAGGTAGATAGGGTGTCTAAATTAAAACCCATAGTTTTTTTTAATAATTTGTCAAAATGTAGTTTATATTATGCTTTTTTAAAAAAGATAATAAAAAGAATGGGTCACGGGACTTATTTCCACGCTACAGGTTGTGCAAAATTGACAGATTTTGTATAGATTATGCATAGAAAATCCAACTTTCCGCCTTAAAACGAAAACTACACCATAGAATTTTGAGATTAAATATGAGAAGATAGCTCTAATAATATTCTTTCAGATAAGATAAAGAAAAAAGGGGGTGACGGGACTCGTTTTCTTGCTACATAATAAAATAGGTAAATTCCTAACACATTCTATTGTAAAAGTTTCTTTATCAGAATTATCTGCCCTTACATTTGAGTTTTCTCCCCTTATGTGGCAAAGTTGGAAAAAATTGAATCAAATAAAAGTATTCTGTTTTTTGTAAAATACAGCAATAAATATGATTAAACATGTCATTTTCTATGTTATATATTTTTAATGAAAATGTATACACATGAATTACCTACTACTCTCGAAATTTGCACATTTAATTAAAGATCTAGACCGATTGTTTTCTGGTATTACAAAATCCAAGATGGAGGAAGACACCCTAGCTACCTTAGCAAAAACTAAGATTGCATTTTATTTTATTTTCTTGTAAAAATGCATTTGGCAAATTTCGAAATTCATTTTGGAAAAAACAATTGTTTGTTTCAAAAATCACTGCAACATTTATTTTGTAAACTTCAACAGTATTGACAGAAAGTCGATGAATCTTACATTGTGTTACATGTATGCACAAAGATAACGCGGTGATTTTTTAAACAACAAATGATATGTATAAAATTGAGAATGGAAACGGGGAATGTTTCAAAGAGACAACAACTCGACCAAAGAGTAGAAAACAGCTCAAGGCCACTAATAGGTCTTCCACACTGCGAAAATCCCGCACCCGGGGGTAGGCTTTAGCTGGCTCCTAAACAAAAATGTATACTGGTTCAGAAAAAAATGGACGTAACACTAAACTCCGAAACATATAAATGAACCAAAATTAAAAAACATATAAGACTAACAAAGGACAGAGGTTCCTGACTTGGGACAGGCACAAAAATATGGCGGAGTTAAACATGTTTTGTGAGATCTTAAGACTCCCTCTATACATCTAGCCAATGCAGAATAAACAAACACACAGCATTTCGCACAGTAAAACTCAGTTTTTAAGAAGTCCGAGTCCGATGTTAGAATAGGTAACAGAAAAAAATAAGCAAAATCTATATTTTATGTACAACTGTGCAAATGTTTATTGGTGTCCATTTCATCCTTCTGATGTTTCTTCTTTACACAACTTTGTTAACAGACAGACGGACGGACAACGTTGAAACTGTAGGGCTTCCACATGCATGATACAGTGTCCTTTTTCACATTTTAACAGTTTATGAATTTGAATTAATTGGTGCGACCGATGAGTTTTTCTGGAATAATCTCTATTAGGAAAGTAATTCTACTTGAGAATTCATATGACCAAAAACGAACTTTAGAAGATAAAAATAGAGTAAGACCAACTGTGCCTGATGGAGTTGGTACCTGAGTTTCGTTGTATTTTTTTACAGAATTATACGTTCAAAATCATATCTTCGTCGAAGCGCCGACAAAAGTGCTATACCCGTAAGCTTCGTGTCAAGAATTCCAAATGGTGAAGTTGAAATCATCACTTCGTAAATTTTACAGACACCATCACGAGTTGGTTGACCGTTATGGAATAACCGTTTCACAGATGATATCGGATATGTTCCTTATGTCGTAACTACAATACCCTTCCCTTTTCACGAATGTGACCTTCCGAATTAGACTATTTACCGGATTTGTAATGACACAAGCAACACGACGGGTGCCACATGTGGAGCAGGATCTGCTTACCCTTCCGGAGCACCTGAGATCACCCCCAGTTTTTGGTGGGGTTCGTGTTGCTTAGTCTTTAGTTTTCTATGTTGTGTCATCTGTACTATTATTTGACTGTTTGTCTTTTTATTTTTGGCCATGGCGTTGTCAGTTTGTTTTCGATCTATGAGTTTGACTGTCCCTCTGGTATCTTTCGTCCCTTTTCTAGTCCACAAGCAGCGATATTGAACAACAAGACTAACAATAGCATAGCTATTCGATTTTTCCCTTTCGTGAATGAGCGAAAATTATTCTGTACTCTGAATAGTAAAATACTGAATTTGAGCAAAAAACTATTCTTATGGAGACACATAA